ACATGTACTCTTCGTCACTTCATCTTGAACATCAGTAGATGTGACCTTTGGTAACTCTCAATGATTATGACCAATTTGTAGCTCACTTTCAGTTGTCACCTTTCAAACTTGTTGGCACCATCACATTACTTATGTGATATAACCAAATCACCTCTAAATGCCTATGTTCAAATGCATACAGAATCTGGCATCCAGTCATGCAAACCTCTCATAAGGAACCAGTGTTTGCAGCAGAGCTGGCCCTGGTGGTGTAGGTGTGGGTGAGCTGGTCCTGAGGGTGTGAAAACAGGAAGACTGGTCCACCTCTTGCTCATTGCTGCATGGGGTGAATCAGCAGGAGCAACACTGGAGAACTTGCCCTAGTGGTGAGGATTGGAGAGACCTGGTGGGTTGACCAACCCTGCAGCTATGAGTTGGCCCACCCCAATATCCACCCCATCTGTGATCTGCTGGAGCCCATGAAGGAACAAGTCCTGCAGACCCAAAGCTGCAGGATCTCCACGATACAGGGCAACAACAGCACATCCAAGAGGAATCTAGTGAGGTCCAGCAGTGATAGTGTAGCAGAAACCAGAGGCCTCGAACCAGACCAAGGACGCTTTGCAGTGAACACTGGCCAGTAAAGATGTATGGACAAAGGGGTCTACTGCATGATTCACTCTGTCCCACTACCGCTTCTGTGATGAGATTTTTCTTTGTTTTTCTCTGAAAATGAAGGGAAGAATAGATTAATAGGATCAAGATGCATGATGTGAAAGATACAAAGAATAAATAAAAGGAAAGTTAATAAGACAGTATCTGTGTATACCATACAAACATTGACTCAGCAAGAGTCGTTTAATGTAGGGCCTCATGGATAAATTAACATCCTTTGAACAAATCTAGTTCCCTTCATTTTGCTTAGTAAGCTATTAAATTTTACCAGAATTGCTCATTATCCTTTGGTAGAAAATGACTGTTAATCCATTAGAGCTGACATGTTAAAACATAATGTAATTAGCATTTGTAAGTTTAGAAAAATATTTAATATCATGTCAGCCTTTTAGCTCTTGAGCATGGGTCAGGTTTTCAGAAATCCTTTCATCATCTGTAAGCCTATCTGCATACTTTCTTTTCTTACAAAGGCTGAAAGCATCACATACTGTCTAGCTAGAGTTAAATTCATGATCAACCCATATTCTTGAAAAGAAAATGAACGTTTTTTCAAGATGCCGTGTAATCTGGAGGTAAGAATTTCCATCTACAAAGCGATGGTATGTGCAGGTGCAGCTCCCCACGTGGTACAGTAGTTTCCGATAATGAGCTAGGCTTTTTAAAAAGCTGCTACACAGCATCTCTGTGTTCACACAACTTTAAGCATTTTACATGTTTTCAAACTCATTTAACCTTTACCAAACAAGCTCAGGTGTGTAGATTCAGTTACAAATGTATAAATACATTTTTACAAATAAAGAAGGCACTGGTGGGGTTTAGCGGCTTACACAGAGTCACATAGTGAATGATAGAGTTGAGACTCAGATTCAGCCTGGTTCCACAGTCCAAGTGTTTAAGACCAGCACCCATACTGTATCGGAAAAACAACTGTTTCTTCCCTTCTCTTGGCTCTGTTACTGCTTTTCACCCTTTGTGGATCTAAATCTAGACACATAAATAGAAATAGGTCTCTGAATGAAGACCCTCACTCACTGAAATCATTATGTCATTGAAAACATACTGTATGACAGGTACTGTTCCAATCTTCTGACCATGTGAATGCATATCCAAGAATGTCTTTTAAGGAAGTCATATCTGGCAGAAGTTTCTAGTTTGGTCACGAATATTACCATATTCACATTTATAAGTAGCCTCCATGTTTGAGAGAGAGGGAGGGTATTAGTGTCTCCAACAAACGTAACACAGAATAAAATCTGTTGTGTTTTCTTTCTCCTGCAAGGAGTGTTTTCTAATTTGTATCACTTCATTTTTTGAACACCAGTACTGATTTTAACCCTAGTGCTGTTAAGGAGATGCATATATCTGAATGGCTTTCGTGGGTGTGTCAAAATGCCATATAGCTAATAAATAGAGCCAGACTTTGCATCCAGCACTGTCTGATGCCACTTGTTTCATTATTCATTCTTTCTTTTTTTCATCTTAAAAGCTATCTTTAAAATTTAAGATACTTTAAGATAGCTCTCTCATATGAGGGTATGTACCTAGTCTTATTGTAACTTATTGTTATGCAGTGTTCAGTTGATATCTCAGGGAGGCCTGCTCTTCTTTGAAGGGAAATGGAGGAGGAATGGATTGTGGGAGAGGGGAAGAGTTGGAGCACTAGGAGGAGTGGAGGAAGGGGAATTTGGGGTCGGGATGGAATATATAATAGAGGAATAACAAAAAGAGAAAAGATAGTGCCTTCTTTCTCTTCTTAAAACCTAGCTTTGTTGGAGTTAGCATTAATGTTTACATACTATATTATACTTCACTCTATAGGACCAGGGTAGAGATTATGTAGAATTCTAAGTATGTTCACTAAACCAAACTTATTGTTCAACTTTCCCATATATTTCTTATTTTTTCTGCTAGAACTATTATTAATTGAGACATAGGTCAACTTTCTATTCTGGTGGCTAAATTCACATTTTCTCCCCTTGCTTTGGTATTTGCATGGAATATTAACCTCATCTTTAGCAATAAATGCATGAAATTGCTTACTAAAGAAGCTGCTTTTTCTAGAATACCTTGTTCTGGGCCTAGACCCTACGAAAATACTATTTCAATGAAATTTGACACTATGTGACTCCACAGAATGAACAAATTGTCCACCAGCACTCAAGTTTTGACAAGCGATCTTAGCCATGACTTGGCCCTTTTGACTATACATTTGTGACTGAATGGAAATGAAGTAGTGTAATAAGTTTTCTTATTTAGACTTTGACTTCACTATTACTAAGTTCTAATGTCCATAAACTGAGAGTGTCTGAATGGCCATAGCTTTTTCTATAACTTTGTGTTTGTATGACTTTCTGACTTTAACTGTGCTTGTGCCTCTATTGACTTTCTTAATTCTTGTTTTCAAAATGTGATGTTATCATTTGCCTCCAAATGGTATTATTTAATTAATTGCACAGGAAAGCATTACCTTTTATTCCGTACATTTCCTTTTGAATTCCTAGAAAATACTCTTTCCCATAGTATGCAAACAGCCACAGCAGAGGAGGGGGTAGGTGAGGCAAATGGTAGGTTTATATGCTAAGGTATTAAGGACATATTTAGTCCAGTATGAGTTCTTCTTTGACCTATGAATTAATTAGAAGTGTCTGGTAAATTTTCAGACAGTATTGAGATTAGAATTATTTTTTAAAATTAACTTTTTAATTTAATTTCCTTGAAGCCAAAGATTGTGACTTGTATCAAAAATACATTTTTTAATTTACTGAGACAAATATTACAACCTAGTACATGTTTAGTTCTTGGGGTAAATATTCCAAGTGTGTTTGAGAAGTATACCTCCAACTGGATATATACACCTTTATATACCATTTAAATCAAGTTTCTTATAATATTCAACTTGTTTATATTTTTAATAATTATTTTGGTTTTAGTTTTTTGAAACAGTTATTCATGTATGCTAAGCTGGCCTCAAACTTGCTATGTAACAAAGATGCTCTGAACTTCTAATCTTCCCGTCTGTGCCTCCTGAGTGCTGGGGCTGCAGGTGTGAGTCACCAAAGTTTGTTGATAAGGTGCTGGGCCTTGAATCCAGGGCTTCATGCGTACTAGGAAAGCACTTTGCGGATTGAGCTACATATCCAGCTGTAATCATATGATGTTCTAATGTAAACAACATTACCAAAGGAGCTTGATGGATTTCTACTGTGTGTGTAGTGACTTGTAAACTTCTTCATTGTCAAGAATACTTAAGAGGCTCCAACTCATCTTTTCATTGTCCTTTATCAACAAAAGTACACATAGGGCTAGAAAGATGGTTCAGTGGATAATAATGCATATTACTCTTCCAGGGGACTCTGCTTATGTTCTCAGCACCCGTGTGGAGTAGCTCACAACTGCCTGTAACTTTACGTCCATGAGATATGAGATACCATGTGTATGCTGGTATACCCTTGTACCTCCATACACATGGTTCGTTCTCTCTCTCTCTCTCTCTCTCTCTCTCTCTCTCTCTCTCTCATACACACACCTTAAAAACACTCATTTTAATAAGGCAAAATCTCCTTATTCTGTAAAAACTTTCACATGTAATAGTGTTCTCTTTCTTTGTTTCTTTCTGTCTCTCCCTCCCCTGTCTATGTAAGACAAAATTAGATACTAAGTAAGTTTTCATAGTTTTAATTTGCAATACCTTGATAGCATGTACAAAGTACTGTGTTCATGTGTGCAAATTTCTGAAAGGCAGGGGCCATGGTTTAGTCATCTCTGTATCTCCAGTGCTTTGCAAAATATTTTATAGAGTGGTGCTCAACAAATGTTTACGAAATGGAAGAAGCTGCTCTCAAGTGCAGGGTTATTTGGGAGGTAGCGGGGGTGGTAGAATCTTTTCAAGAATTATCAGGAAGCTGACTAAATTCCAGGAACACAGGAGCTAGTCAAGAATGAAGAACTGAGCCTGAACTCGAAGTCCCCTTCAGTGCAGAGACCCCTGCCTGATTATTTGGGTTAATAGAATTGAGACTTTAGAATACAGGATAATAAAGTTGGATGTCAAGGACGTACTTGGTGGAGGAAGATTGACTCAGCTGGTTCTACGATGTTTTTGAAAATGCTTATTCTGAATGATCCAGCTGTTTCCCAGAGTCATGAGTAATTTCTCACAGAAATCACTGTAGGGCATGGCTCAGGTGTGGAAGAAGAAACAGTGACTAGATCAGGTTCTTTTACCTTCTCTCTTTAGCTTGCCTCAAGGACGAGGTAGCCCAGAGAAAGGCTACCTAGAGCTGTGCAGTTATTCTGGACATAATCTGGACTTCATCTCTGTGAAATGAATTGTTCTTTTATTTCAGACAACTCTGGTCACTCTCCTTGCCCGGTTGCTTTGAAGAAAGAAGAGTAGAAGATAAGGAGTCGGAGACGAATCCATCATGTCGGAGATCCTAGACCTCTCCTTTCTGTCTGATATGGAAAGGGATTTGATCCTCAGTGTTCTGCAGAGAGATGAGGAACTCAGAAAAGCAGATGAGAAAAGGATTAGGTAAGAGTCCCAGAAATGGTATGTACTTCCAGGATACCCAAGCTTTTCCATTGTTTCTTGACTCACTGTCGGAATTACATATATGATTTTACAGCTCAGTGGGCCAAGTTGGGCTCCTCGTTTGTTATTTTTTTATTTTTATTTTTCAGAGAGGAAGGCTGTCTACAACACAGGCACAGCTCTTGCTTTTAGAATGGATACTCAGATTTATTTTATTTTTATTGAGCTCTACGTTTTTCTCTGTTTCCCTGCCTCTCCCCTCCCCGCTTCGACCCTGTAGCTTTGGAGCCTGTGCTAGAATTCGCTACTAGACCAGGCTGGCCTTGAACTCACAGAGCTCCACCTGCCTCTGCCTCCGGAGTGCTGGAATTAAAGGCACGAGCCACCACCGTGCAGCCCAAGTTTTTTCTTTTCACACAACACAGTAGAGTTACTGTCATTACCTCAGTTTGTTAAAATCCTAAACCCACTCCTGCTTCTCCTTTTGGGTCTTGGCAGGCGACTGAAGAATGAGCTACTGGAGATAAAACGGAAAGGTGCCAAAAGGGGCAGCCAGCACTACAGTGATCGGACCTGTGCCCGGTGCCAGGAGAGCCTGGGCCGTTTGGTTCCCAAGAGCAACACTTGTGTGGGTTGTAATCATTTAGTGTGTCGAGACTGTCGCGTTCTGGAAAGTAATGGCTCCTGGAGGTGCAAGGTGTGCGCCAAGGAAATGTGAGTGTCACTCAGCGGTCTAGTAAGGAAGGGGGATGAGTCCGGCTGTAGTGTGACTTTTTCTGGTCAAGTGTGTTAGTTGAATGACAAGAGTCATTGTTTATACATCCAACTTGTCCTTTTCTTTTCTCCCAGAGAGCTGAAGAAAGCAACTGGCGATTGGTTTTATGATCAGAAAGTAAACCGCTTTGCATACCGGACAGGCAGCGAGATAATCAGGATGTCCCTGCGCAGGAAGCCTGCAGGTATTGAAAGGGCCTACAGGATGTTCCCTGAAGCGCCTTAGCCTCAGGGATAGCTCGGCTTCTGTGGAATCCAGCTGTAGTCTGGCCAGTGGTGATTTCGCTGGGGGTGGGTGGGGGGTGGGGCTCAGCCAGGTTGAGGGAATATAAAAGAATGTGTCCCGTAGTGTCAGCAAGTTTGTGTTTTAGGAAAGATGCTTTGAAGGTTGTTTCCTTCTTTACCCTGGTTACTACTACCTGCCGTGCTTTTGTTTTGAAGCAAACAGAGAGCCAGTGGGACAGCCCCTCCTTCATCAGACACAGATGGGCGATATCTGGCCTGGAAGAAAGATCATTCAGGAACAACAGAAGGAAGCCAGGTAAGAGCCAAGGAATTAGTTTTGCTCAATTCTTCTATTACTTTTACTTCATTTTCTAAAATAATGGGCATTTTAGAGGGAACTTGGAAAGTACAGATAAAATCAAAGGAGAAAAAACATCAGTAGTGATCCTCTTAGCTCTATGTAAATATCAACATTTTGGCAAATTTACTTTGTTCTTATGTTGCACTGTGCTGTGAAAAAGAAAGCTATTAACTCTGTTTTTGTTGTTGTTGTTTTTTTTTGTTTTTGTTTTTTGTTTTTTTTTTGAGACAAGGTTTCTTGGTGTAGCCCTGGCTGTCCTGGAACTCGCTCTGTAGAGCAGGCTGGCCTCAAACTCAGTGAAATCTGCTTGGCTCTGCCTCCGAGTGCCGGTATTAAAGGCATACACCACCACCATCCGGTGAAAGTTATTAACTCTTAACAAAGATTTATTTACTTAGAAAGGTGTGTGTCTGTGTGCAGGTATATGCATAGAGGCCAGAGGGTGTTAGACACCCTGGAGTTGGACCCCTAGGCAGTTCTGAGGTGCCTGACAAAGGTGCTGGGAACTGAACTTGGGCCCTCTGCCATGGCAGTAAGCATCCTTAACTGTGGAACTACTTTTGTCTCTCTAGTCCCAGAGAGCTTTCTTCCACACCCTCCTAAACTGTTCTTCTGTTCTCACTGTTTGTTATTAAAATTAGTTAATTTTGGCCAGGCTTTGTAATATTTTCTTTCTGTTATGCAGCCATAAATCAACAGACTTTTAAAACTGGGTTAGTTTTAGTTTCGTATTTCTAAGGATGGTTTGCTTGCAATCAAGCCTCACACAGTGACTTCTCTACTCCTGAATACTTTGCCTTGATTTCTTGATTGTCTAGATTTCATTATTGGGAAATTGATGTTGATTGCGTTCTTTCATGTTCAGAATACCTGCCAACTACCTTTGCAGTTGAATAGTATCTTAGCTGAGCATTACAGGCTTCAGTCGTGTTTCTTCTCTTTCTGGCTGTTGTAGGTATTTCTCAGTTGTCTTCTGCCACTGAACCTAACTATGAAGAAGACCACCTTGACATTTTTACCCCTCTAAGTAACTTTGTGTTTGTACGTACACAAGTGCACATAGGTGTGCATGGGTATTAGAATTTGTGTGGATCAATTATATCAATTGGATGAATTTACGGGAAAAATATTTTTTCTTGAATATTAGTAATTGAAGAGTGTAAGTGACAGATGATTATTCTGAGCTGTTTTTTCCTGATATATGATATACTCTTGGTGGTAGTTTTCTTCATAGTTGGAATTTTTCAGTACCATGTCCTTAAACATTTTTCCTGTTAAGGGCACCACCTCAAGGACATTGGCTTTCATTTAACCTCTATTTCTGTAATGTTTTTAAAAACTGTATGATACAAAAGCAAAAGAGAAAGATGGAAGTAATTAACTGTGGAGACCCCAACATATTCTTCCCCTCCATGCTATTTGGATTTGGGACATTATTTTTCTCCCCTCTACCCCTTCCCTTCCCTTCTCTATTTTCTGACTTAATTAAACGGCCTGTTTAAATTATCTTGTTTAGATTTTAGTTTTGATTTTTTTCAATGTTTAAATCATTTTTGTTGTTTTATCATCTTGTATTTGAGCTCGTGCACTTTAGCAAGTCTGCTTGATGCTTGTGCAAACAGAACAACGTCTACTTATGCAAAGTAAGATAGCTGTGACACTGCTGTATGATGTCAATTTGTGAGCCCACCATCATATATGCGCACCCCATTTGAGGGAAAAAGCACTATATATCACATAGCTGGTCTTTTAAACTAATTTTATTTTTAAAAAGATTATTAAATTTTATTTTGAAGTTAAAAATAGGACATACATCTGTTCACTTAAAAAAGATTTTTAAACTTCATTTTGGAGCTAAGAACCAAAGTCAGGGGCTTGTGCTTGCTAGGCAAGGGATCTAGCACTGAGATAATTGCCAACCCAAGATTTAAGATTTTTAACTGATACAAAAATTGTATATACTTATGGAATAGCATGTGGTATTTTAATAAAATCATACATCATGTAACTTAAATCAAGTTAAGTAAAGCTACTTTTTGTAATTCTCACCTCTTATGGTGAAAATGTTCAAAACTGCTTCCTTTTTTTAAAGATATAGTACACAGAGTCATATATAGTCACATAAATGGAGGCTTGTGCACTAAAGCTTCTTATACTGATATAACTTAATACCCTTCTATTCTCCCTTCTTCTGACGAGCACTGTTTTACTCCTATGTGTATGGGAAATTTTCCTGCTTGTATGAATGTGTACCACATTTGTTCCTTGTGTCTGCAGAGGCCAGCAGAGTATATTGGACCCCCTGGTTGTAAGCTATCATGTGGATGCTAGTAATTGAGCCAGGACCCTCATGATGAGGAACCACTTCTCTTAGTCCTATCTCTCCAGCCCTGTTGTACCTATTCTTCTGTAACCCTAAAGGAGAGATGGAAAGTAGGTTGTAGTATCAATGTGTATCTCCTGAACATTAAAATTTTTTTGTTTCCTGATTTATTTTTGTCTGTATGGTGTGTGTGTGTGTGTGTGTGTGTGTGTGTGTGTGTCTGTCTGTCTGTCTATATCTCTGTCTTTGTGTGTGTGCCTGAGGAGACCAGAAAAAGACATCAGGTATCCTGCCCTAACATCCTCTGCCTTATTCCCTTGAAACAGGGTCTTCCACCAAGCCTGGAGCTAGGCTGGATGCCAAGTCTCAGTGGTCCTTGCCCTCCTTCCACACAAAGCAGTGGGTTCAGGCACATGGTAATACCTGGGTTTTACATGGGATCTAGGGATTGAAACTCGGGTCCTCATGCTGAGAAAGCAAGCATCCCTGATCCATCTCCTCAGCTCCCCAAATCTTTTGTTTTCTTAACTATAGGTTTTTTAAAATTTTGATTTGTGGACTTATACTTTACCCCATTTGTTTGTTGATGGTGTTTTTTAGGCATGTGTTGTGAGGAGATTTTCTTTAATTTTCCCAATGAGAAAAGATTTTATTACACTTTTTATGATTGTTTAAAAAAAAATCCTGTATAGAACTAGTGGCACATGTCTATATTTTCAGCTCCTCATGAGGCTGAAGTAGGAGGACCACAAGCTTGAGGCCACTCTAGGCTATATAGTAAAACCAAAGATTGACAAGAAGTATACAGAAACATGATAGTTAAGTTCTCCAGTAACCTAATTTTCTTTGCCCAATGATTGTTAATAGCCATTGATAACTTTGACATGTGACCTACCAAAGGTCTCCATACACACCCATGTGAGTTAAACACCTGCATTTTAATTCTTTTTAAAAGATGATATCATGGACATGTTAAGTCTAAAATAGAAAGAAAAAGAACTTAAAAAGCAGTAATACAGACAGTCCTATAGAAAGGAGCAAAAGATTTGAACAGATATTTCATTAAAGATAATATGCAGATGTCAAATGATGAGGTTCAACATCATTAATCACTAGAAGAATGTAAATTAACAATGAGATGCCACATGCCCACCAGAATAACTGTCATTTCAAAAGCTTGACCATAATGAGTGCTGGATGTGAAACAGCTGAAATTCCCAGTCCCTTCTGTGGAGAAATGTTTACCGTGGTCAGCTGCTCTGGGAAAGTTGAGTCTTTTAAAAAGTTCACTGTACACCTACAGTGTGATTCCAATGTTTCATTCATGGATATGTAACTCAAGAGAAGTCAAAGCATATGCCCATTCAAAGACTTGTACATGTATATCATAGACGTTTCATTTATTTTTTTATGACAGTAAGGAATTATTATTATTTTTATTTGGAAGTGCTAGGAATTGAACTTAGGGCCTCATACATGCTAGCTAAGTAATACAATAGTAAATTATATTTCCAGCTCTGGAATTAAAAAAAAAAACATTTCAACGTATGGCCTGGAGAGATGGCTCGGTTGGTAAGTGCTTGCCACTCTAATGTGAGCACTAGAGTGTAGATTCCCCGCCCCCTTAGTAGTTGCTTTGGTGTAGCAATTGGGGAAGCTTTGGCAAAGAGTCACACAGCAAGATGATGGTTCACTGTGTCAGCCAGAAAGCCTGCCTCCATATATGAGGCGGAGAGGGATCAAGGAGGACACCCAATGTCAATCTTGGACACACACACACACCTACATATATGTAAACACTTATACAGCCATGCATACCACACACATATATTTTAGATATTTCATCACAGAACTGATTAAATTATTTTACATTTATAAAAGTCTGGAGAGCAAGAATGAAAGCAAATTTAGCAACTTTACATATAGTATATAAAACCAAAAGATGGCATATTAATAGTAATGATGCAAATTTGATATGTTACATGATCTTACTCTAGTAAACTACTTCTCTGCTTCCTTTTTTTTTTATCTCCTTTCCTCTTTTTTGAGACTTTCTCATGCACAGACAACTAGAGCTGCAGTGAGTTTTGTGGGTGGCACCCTGGCCATGTCATGCACCCAACACAGCATTTGACAGTACTGTTCCTCAGCCCCTGGCCTTCACATTCTCTTCACCCTTCTGTGATGTTTCCTGAGCCTTGGCGGAGGTGGGGGGCGGGAGATGGGAGGATGGCTGATGTAGATGTTGTATACAGGGAGAATCACTTAGTAGACATTTATGCGCAGTACTTTGATGCGTCATAACTCTGTGTTAACTGCCGACCACCGAAGAAAGAAACTTATTTGGTCAAAGTTGAGGGCAGCGCTGTTTATGGGTGTGACTATAAATACTTAGAAAGCGGTTGGACAACATGCCATTTACTAATATAGTTGTAGGCTTTCCCTTAGGGCTTCTGGCCTCCTGAGCCACGGGCTTTTGAGCAGGTTGTCAGCAACAGGTCTAAATTCTTTCTTTGGAGCAGTTAGTTAGTTATCCCCATAAACTTTATGCCACTGTTGCACCCGTGGGTGCTTTTGCCTGGCAGGTCAGTATTATAGCATGTAGGGTTGGCTTCATGGATACCAATGACATGATTTTTTACTTCCCAGTGGTCTACATAGCTCCTTCCAGGACCATGAAAGCTTATCAGCAGGAATGAAGTAGTTGTGTGGCCTTGTCCATTGATTTCTGAGTCTGTCTTTGTGACAGTGCCATGTTGTTTTTATTACTGTGGCTCTATAGTATAATTTGAAGTCCGGGATGGTGATATCTTCAGCAGTATTCTTTTTGTTCATGATTAGCTACTGGGGTCTCTTGTGCTTTTTTATGAGTTTTAAGATTTTTTTCTATTTCTGTAAATATTGTCACTGGAAATTTGGTAGGGATTGTTTGAATCTGTAAATTGCTTTTAGTAAAATAGCCATTTTCCCATATTGATTTTTTTCAATCAATGAACCTGGGAGATCTTTCCATTTTCTACTATAGTCCGCAATTCATTTCTTTGGTGCTTTAAGCTTTTTATTGTAGAAGTCTTTCACACCCTTGCTTAGGTTTATTCCAGTGTATTTTTAGGCTATTATGACTGGAACTGTTTTCTTTTCCAGTTTGCTTGTCATTTGTGTATAGAAAGACTAGTGACTTTTGTGTATTAATTTTATGCCTTGCCACTTTGTTGAAGGCATTCATCAGTTTTAAATATTTTCTGGTGGTGTCTTTAGGGTCTATTATGTATACAATAGAATACAATAGCTTCATTCGTGATAGCTAAAACCGGGAAACAATTCAAGTGTCCACCAATAGGTGAGTGATAAACTGGTTTGTTTATGCCACATAGTACTAATCTGGTAATGAAAGACATGAACTATTGATACATGCAGTATCATGAATGGATCCCAAAATACATATGTTGAGTGAAAAACACTAAACAAAAACATTACCTATATGCTGAGTGTGGTAGCGTAAACCTTTGGTCCCAGCATTAGAAGACAGGGCAGAGGCAGGTGGATTGCTGAGTTGAAGGCTGGCCTGGTCTACATAGCAAATTCCAGACCAGCTAGAGTTACCTAGTGAGAGGATACCCCAAAACAAACAAAAACAGAACAAAAAAAAAAGAGTACTTCGTCTATGAGTCTTTTTGATTCTGTTATATAAATTTCAGAAAATACAAACTAATTTTGAGTGAAAGAACTAGATCAACATTTGCCTGGAACCAGGGTCTGGAAGGGGAGGGCCGGATTGCTAAGGGGCATGGAGACACTTTGGAGAGTGATTAATATGTTCCTTAACTAAGCTGTAGCAGTAGCTTTTGACGTGCATGTCTCCTGCCAGAAATCATCAGTGTGCGTAATTAAGCACGTGCAGCTTATTTGTGTCAATTAGTTAAAAACAGCAGAAAACTGCAACCCAGGCACTTCTCCAACACCAGAGCTCTTCATTAGTTTCTATGCTCGTGTGCTGTTGGACTGTATATATGTACCGTGATTTTATCAGAGAGCCTTGGGGGCATGAGTCATCTGTTCCAGGTGCTGAGGCCCCTTATTCCTTTGTAGTTAAGGTTAAAAATGGCTTGGGTTTGCTGAACTTGATTAACGCATCTGACATCACTGCTCAGAATGTAATTTCTGAAATCTACTGCTTCTGGCTGTCTACGACCTCTTGTCTCATTGAATTGAGCAGCCTCTTATTTATTATAAACATGAAAACAGATTGAGCATAAGTGATTTTTACATAAAATTATGGAGCCTCCGAGATAATTGAATTCAACCCTTTTATTTTTATAGAAAAGAAAGCAGGATAAATGATTTACCTGAGATCATACAGATAAAGACCAGGACTCATATCTCGGGGTTTATTTTTACTGCGCAGATGTCAAATAATTGCTTTTTTGCCCTACGGTTGTTTACATCAGCTCAGGATCAGAACATATTCATCTTTAGGGAAGGAAAAGAGAAAAGAAAAGAAATACAAGCACCAAACAATCCATGGACCATTGTTGAATAGTGCCTCTAGAGGAATGATTGTTTGAAGTTCCTTTTCACTTCGCAGTGAAGCCGACAAAGGAATGATTTTTGAGGAAAAAGAAAACCAAGCTCCTTGCTGTGTCTCGTGTGATAAAGCTGGTACAGTTGTTGAGAATGACCTCTCTCTCACCTGTATATGTGAAGATTTCAATTCAGCTCCTTCTGTTTGTTTGCACAGACCTAGCTCAAACATCACCTGACAAGTTGGAAAGTTTATTCACTGGCGGAGACGTTGGAATAATATAGATTTGGTTACCTTGTTTCTGTTCATTTCTTTGCTAAATGTATGTGAAAGCTTACAGTGTGCCAGATGTGGTTTTGTGCGCTGGGATGCTATAGTGTGTACAAAAAAGCCCCTTGTTTGTAGATTGTAGATTTGGGAGTAGGGAGCACACAACGCAAATAATCAAATGTATAGTCTGTCAGATGTCGACAAGTTTGAGGGTGACAATCATCCGGAGTGAAGGGATACGGAGTGCCAGGAGCGCGTGGGTATATGTGCTGTTTTCCTCAGGATAGTAGGGCAAGTCCCAATAATAAGGAGACATTTGAAAAAATGCAGGGACAAACATGGAGGGTATTTGGTGAGTAGGAGGAGCATTGTAGACAGAAAACTAAGCAGGTCTAAAGAACACAGAATGCATTTGCCACATATGTAATCTGGAGTTGAGTTGGGGGGGTGTTGGTACATGGAAATATGCACAGAAATGGATGGGAAGCCAGTCGTGAAAGACTTTTTGACCCCTGTTGAGACTATAATTTATTTGGAGAGAGTGGAGGATGTCAGAATTGATGTTACAATTTTATTGCTTTTTGTTGTTGTTTACAAATTGAGGTTAAAATTTATGTAACATTAAACCATAATTTTCAATTTTGTAAAGTTTGAATCTATGAGTGTTAGAAATTTATGTTGTTGCACAACCAGCATAGCTATTGAGTGTCAGAACATCCCTACGACTCTAAAACGGAACCGCGTACGTTAACTAGTTCCTGCTAGTTCTTCCATCCTTTTCTCTGTGGTCTACCTTTCTGTATTTGTATACTTTGGGCTTATCCTCTGAATTGAATCACACCAACTGTGGGCATTCTGATTGGTTTGTTCAGTTAGCACAAAAATTCCAACATTCATCCATGTCGCTATATATACTAGAGTTCTTTGCTCATTTTTAGTTAAACAATATTCCTTTGTATTGCTATACAATATTTTGGTTGTCCCTTCATCTATAGATGAGCACTTGGACTATTCCTACCTTTCGAGTACTAAGAACAATGCTACGTGAGGCCAGGGAGATGGCTCAGCTGTTGAGAGCACTTGTTCCTCTTGCAGAAGACCTGGGTTTGGGTCCCAGCACCCATTTGGTGATTCACAACCGTTTGTAACTGTGGCTTCACATGATCCTGTGCCCTATTACTGCCCTCTATGGGCACCAGGCATGCACATAGCACACAGACATCCACGCAGGCAAAACATTAATACACATAAAATGAATGAATGAATGAATTCTAAAGAAATCAGGGGAATAAAGTATAACGTTACCACCAGGTATGATGTTGCAGGCCTGTAATTCTAGCAATCTGGAGGCAAAGGCAGGTGTATCTCTGTGAGTTCAAGGACAGCCTGGTCTGCATAGAAAGAACGACAAGTTTGGGGTACTTAGAAAGTAGATTGTAGTCTTCTGGTATGTAGAATGTGAAGAGTGAAGGGTGAGAGATGAACCTGGAGACCTAAGAAGCAGCAGGTCATCAGAAGTTTCCTGTTAGGCTAACGGGGTTAAACACAGTTTCCACAGAAAGGGGAAATGACTTAAGTGTTTGCAGTCTCCTCCCATGGTTGGGGATGCAGCTTAGTGGGAAAATATTTGCTTAGGGCACGTGAGGCCCTAAGTGTGAGTCCCAGCATTGTAAATCTGACTCCCATTTATGTTTAAAAAAATCATTCAGGCCAGGCGGTGGTGGCGCACACCTTTAATCCCAGCACTTGGGAGGCAGAGGCAGGCGGATCTCTGTGAGTTCGAGACCAGCCTGGTCTACAAGAGCTAGTCCCAGGACAGGCTCCAAAACCACAGAGAAACCCTGTCTCGAAAAACCAAAAAAAAAAAAATCATTCAGGTTACTACTATGGACCAGCGGGAAAGATACCTATCCAGAGGCAGGAAACCTCACTTCCCATAAAAGACCAGATCTTGGGTTTTGTTCGAATGTAAACACCGGATCTTGGTTTTCATTCTAGTGTAAACACCAGGTCGTGGTTTTTTATTCTGGAGTAAACACCAGGTCGTGGTTTTTGATTCTGGAGTAAACACCAGGTCGTGGTTTTTGATTCTGGAGTAAACACCAGGTCGTGGTTTTTGTTCTAGTGGGCCATTTGAAGTGCCGAAGCTGAGGAGTGGAAAGAGCGCGCTGGAGGCTGAGAGCGAAAGTCTGGATAGCTACACAGCTGACTCCGATAGCACCTCCAGGTGGGATTTCCTGCCTCTCTCACCTCTGACCATGCTGAGCTTTCATTTTCTTCTCTAGCAGCAGGATGCAGGTTTCTTCTACCTTGAATGTGCCTGGCATCTGTCCCAGGGCCCTTTGCTGCGACCTCAGCAGGAGTCTCCCTTAATACTTCTGCTGACCTGGCTCTGAGCACAGCTTCCTGGAGTGAGCTAACTTCCCTGGGATGCTGCACTGTGGAGGATTCTGCCCCTCTCCCATAGGAAAGGGAGAGTGTGCACCTGTGTGGGGGCAAGGTTGTTTGCCTGATTGTCGGCACTCCTCCCAGCTGACTTGGCAGTGAAACATGACTTCTCAGTTTGGTTGCTATAGTCATGATTGTGCCTCTCCTTCCTTACTAGTGCTTTGGGGCCTGGCTAGAAGAGAACGGGGAAGACCTGACTTAGTTCTAACTTCTATATTTCTAGGAGAGATTCTCTGGATAAATCTGGACTCTTCCCAGAGTGGAAGAAGATGTCTGCTCCCAAAACTAAAGTTGAAAAGGTAAAGTGCATAGCTATTGGTTTTACTTCTTTTCTTCCTCCTCCTTCCCTCCTTCCTCCTTCCCTCCCTCCCTCCCTCCTTCCTTCCCTTCCTCCCTCCCTTCCACCCTCCCTCCCTCCCCCCCTTCTGTCTTCTTATCTCAAGTCAGAATTTAAATCAGGAATTCAGCTAAAATTTTACTTAGATTCGTTTGGAAACATTTCAAAGGTCTTGGCTAAAATGTGCGTGGACATCTTTCCTTTAAGTTTGTTATAGTTGGGTTCCGATCTGGCCCATAAGCTGTTTGTGAGTACCCTTTACTCACTTCTTTGGTCTACCTGCTGGTCTTTTCCCATGCCCTTGCCCTTGTTCCCTTTTAGGAAATTCAGCCAGGGAGCCAAAATGCAGTCTGTGTTGACGAGGGTGACATGATATTCAAGAAGAACAGCAGAAAAATCCTGAGGCCTTCAGGTAGCCTCCCCTTCATGGCTACATGGGGCTCATTCATGTTCTGAGGGCTTTTGCTGTCTCTTGGTATGGAGTACAGCAGGTTTCTTTTGAGCTAAATTTTTGGTTTTCCATGCAGAATACACTAAGTCTGTAATTGACCTTCGGCCAGAAGATGTGGCACAGGAAAGTGGCATCTTGGGAGACAGGAGCAAATCCGTACCACGCCTCAGTGCAGATATGGTAAGCGCTCTTATGTTTCCCTTGGCCACACTATTAAAATTTTAAATTTAGAATTGGCTTAATTTAAATTAGAGTCCAAATTGCTTAATTATTTAGGAAAGGTGCAATGATCCTTATTTTCCCCAATTTCTGAAGAAGTGCTGTTTGTTGATTTGAAGAACTGTCTTTGTTGTCACCTACTGTTGACCACATTGTTGGGTATATAGTTGGCTACTGTGACTAAAATAGCAAGGAAAGACCAGTGAGGAGACTCAGGACAACAGCGCTTGCTGGGAAAGCCCAGCATGCTGAGTTTGATCCCCGGAGCCCATGTTAAGGTGGAAGGAGAAAACTGACTTTCTAAAGTTGTCTTTAGACTACCACATGTGTGTCATGGTACATGTATGGTTGAATACACACACACACACACACACACACATCATTATCATCATCATAATGGAATATACACAATACTACTACTACTACTACTAAAATTAAAAGCATACAAAGAGAAGGCTAGATGGGGTATTCAAATGGGAGACTTATAAAACTATTAAAAACCTATAATCTTTTGAGATATGAAGATATATTAAAAATAAGGACATGTGCACATATATTCACCTGAAAACTCAGAACTTTTGCAACGAATTTTGGTCCTTATTGAAGGAAAGACATTGGTTTTTGAGGCTTCCTTTTATTAACTCTGAAGTCTCCGTTGTTCCAGGAAGAAGAGGAGGAGGAAGAAGAGGACATTGACCATTTGGTGAAGTTGCATCGGCAGAAACTGGCCAGAGGCAGCATGCAGAGTGGCTCATCCATGGTATGTTCTATGTGTTTGTGTTGATAGACACATTGGGTACTGGGAAGGAAGGAAGAGCCAGCCTCCCTAGAGCAGACTGGGGACCTGAGGCAATCACCCCAATCCCTATTCCTAGGTAAGGGAAGGAAGGAAGAGCCAGCCTCCCTAGAGCAGACTGGGGACCTGAGGCAATCACCCCAATCCCTCTTCCTAGGTAAGGGAAGGAAGGAAGAGCCAGCCTCCCTAGAGCAGACTGGGGACCTGAGGCAATCACCCTAATCCCTCTTCCTAGGCAAGGGGAGTGCATTTCTTTGTTCCTGTCCTCACTTTAGAGCTTAGGTGCTCAGTGTAACTTCTAGGTGACTGCCTGAACCTCCCATCTGGAGGTTCTCCAGAGGGAATGAAGGCTCCCACTATTCTTCCATCACAGCTTTGTGAAAAGTATCTTTAGCTCCTCTGAAAGGATAACCAGGCCATGCAGTAAACAAGACCAGACTCCTTCATCTTAAGCTGCCCCCTGTTCTCACACTGAAGGCGAGCAGGTGTCAGGAGAAAGATCTTTGCCGGACTGGCATCAAGGTGTGGATAAAGCTCAATATGAAACAGCCTCATGGACATTTTGGGGACATTTGCTAATCAGGGCCTACGTCTGTCATAAGTACAAAGATTGCTATTTAGGTGAACAGATTTTCACATTCACACTGGAAGAAAATATAGAGCTCACCGCTACGTGTGAGGAGTGGTGGCTCTCCTGCTGTTCTCAGTTCTGGCCCAATCCCTTTCCTCCGTAGATATCGCTAGATAGAAGGTAGATAACTATGGCCCCATTTTAAAGCGTTAACTAACGCCTTCCAGCCAATGTTGCAGTGTGCATAACACACACCACAGATGCACTTAGGTGTGCCTTATCTTCCTGCTGCTTTTCACCATTCTACAGATGGGCAAAATCAGCAAGAGAGTGTGTAAAATGAGGGAAAGGGACAGTAGGAGTCTGTGTGTGCGCCCGGACAAGTTTGGATGTGCTAGTTATTGGCACTGACTGACCCTCAGGACAAAGGGCTGTTGGCAGTGCTGGCTCCTCACAGGCTCTCCTGAGACTTTTGGCTTTAGCACGGGGTACGATGGGCTCGATTGGGAATGTGGAGTTCGTCTTCCATAGACGTTTGTTATTGCTTTCCCTGCAGAGTACCATTGGCAGCATGATGAGCATCTATAGTGAGGCTGGTGACTTTGGGAACGTCTCTGTGACTGGCAAGATCGTCTTTTCTCTCAAGTTTGAGCAGAAAACACAGACTCTGGTCATTCATGTGAAGGAGTGCCACCAGCTGGCCTATGCTGATGAAGCCAAGAAGCGTTCTAACCCGTGAGTGCTTCTGGCTCCTGAGTAACACTTTGACAGGGAAGCTAGACCTTGGAAGCTGTCTGGGAATTCTTGATCCATATTGTCATCTCTCTGGGAGTAGAATAGTGAGTGTGACATAATAAAAGGCACAGGACTTGGAAAAAGCAAGACTGAAGATGTTAACAGAGTATTTTATTATATGCTGAGCAGGGAAGTAAAGAAGGGACTGGAGAAAGGCTAGCAAATAATTTAGCGTTGTCTTTGGTTTCTAGATATGTGAAGACTTATCTTCTGCCTGACAAGTCCCGCCAAGGGAAAAGAAAGACCAGCATCAAGCGGGACACCATCAATCCACTATATGATGAGACCTTTAGGGTATGTTTCTGAGCCTAGAGGGGAGAAGGTTTTGTTTTGCTTCTGTGCCTTTGTGATACAGTCATGCCTCTACAATGTGAGTGGGTGATCATGGGCATCTGCTCATATGCTGACCTCTTGGGGGAAGAGAACACAGGTAAACTTGGCTTCCTTGGATTGTTGTGAAGTTGGAAATTCACATGACCACATAGCTCATTTTAAAATTTTATTTGAGGCTCTAGAGAGATGATCCAGCAGCTCAGAGCTCTTGCTGCTCTTGCAGACAATTTGAGTTCAATTCCCAGCACCCACACAGTGGCTCACAACTGTCTATAACTCCAGTTCCAGGTGATCTAATGTCATAATCTGGCCTTGGTGACCATCTGCATGTGTGCATCGCACATAAATATACGCAGGCACACAGCCACATTAAACAAAGTAAGTAGAATCTTTTAAAAATGAAGTTGTTTGAGGGCCAGCAGGATGACTTAGCAGGTAAAGTCTGACAACCTGAGTTTGGTTCTCCAGACCTCTGACTCCGCACTCATGCTTGTCCCCACACATATAACATGATATTCATGTACCTGCATGCATGTGCACACACACACACATGCACAAATAAAATGTAATAAAAAATTAGAAGTAATTGGAGATGAAAGATCCCCTTGGAACTTGTTTGTGGATAGTCTTGTGTCCTTTCAGCCACTCCACAACAAACTTTATTACCCTGGCTTTCTATGGACTGTCTTAGGGTTAGTGAAAGAGGTTAGTTGAAGCTTTGAGCAGAGTAATTCAAAGTGCCAAGGAACTAAAACCATTTGACAGACTGTGGGGATAGTTTGCTTAGGGTTTGGAAGAATTTGTTTTTGAGGAGCTACTCCTAACTGACTACTGTGGGCTTGTTCTTTCCCTTCGCAGTATGAGATTTCAGAATCTCTTCTGGCCCAGAGGACTTTGCAGTTTTCCGTTTGGCATCACGGTCGTTTTGGCAGAAACACTTTCCTTGGAGAGGCGGAGGTCCACATGAACTCCTGGAAGCTGGATAAGAAGCTGGATCATTGCCTCCCTTTACATGGAAAGGTAGTCTGCCTTAAAGGTCTTTCCCTGCTTTGTTCCCAGGTAGATTGTCTGCCGCGCCCTCTGCTGGTCTGTGTTGGAAGTAGCTTTGCATGTAGTTTTCTGTAGAGTTCTACCACACCCTGCTGGCCTTTCTGAGTTTGGCAGCAATTTCGGAGGCTCTTGCATGTCAGTTTCAGGCAAAGCAAGAAGCTACTGTGTGCCAAGTTTTTCCTGCTAACCTTCCAGAGGCTAAATGTAACCTGACATCCTAACTTGCACCCCCCGTCTCCAGTCTAACCCTTGGAGTGTATCCTAATCTGCACCCCTTTTCCAAACTAAACATCCTGCTTTAGACGTGAAAAGCAAGAGAGTTGGCAGATCTGCAATGACTGTCCTCTTGGTTATGTGTGCAGGCCAGGGGAATTTTCCTTTAGAGGAACCCCTCAGATGTTAGTATAGTAAGATGGCATCATAGTGGTTGGCAGTTTAGTGCAGATCAGGATTAGAATCTTGCTTCTGTAACTTACTGGGGACTTTGAGAAACCGCCTACCTTCTGTGAGCCTCAATTTAGTTTTCTACTGAATGGTAGGTACAACAGTGCTACTCCCTGCTGCAGGACTGAATGCAGGGCGATCTTTAGTATGTAGCACATGATGGCCATTCCATAGCTTACTGCCATTCTGGTTGTGACAAAATGACTACATCAGAGAACTTTGGCGGCGACTTCCTAGTGATCACAATAAGCTGAAGACAAACCTCTTTGAAAGTTATAATAGTATTTTGAATGTTTGAAACAATGAACAGTGCATAGAGTATCTGTAGAAAGGTGGTCTAGAAACAGAATGGGGCTGCCTGATGTGAGCCTCATGTGCAAGAGATTTACTTTTATCTGTTCCATTTTGTTATTGTCTTTTAGTTTTATTTTAAACCGTTAAATTTTTACCCTATTAAGGATATTAAATGTAAAATGATCTATATATGCATAGTTCCAATTTTAAACAACAAATCATATATAAAAACAAAGTCAATTTCATTACTTAGAAATAGCCATTCAACAAGTATTTAAGTATCCTTCTAGAATTTTTATATTAAGCAGCATAGATAGCATCTATCTATCTATCTATCTATCTATCTATCTATCTATCTATCTCACCTGTAAATTCATATGCCCTATTGTTCATATATATGTGTATATATATATATATATATATATTCTTGATTTTAACAATTTATTATAGGCATTCCTCTATGCCATTACTTACAGGTCTATCTCATTTTACTTGCTACATAATATTCTCTCACAGTTCTGTATTATAAACTTATTTACCAATCCCCTACCAGTGAGTACTTACATTGTTTATTTTTAGAAACTATGCTGTCATATATCTCGTTTTCAGTACTGGTGGTCAAACCAAGAGCTTCCTATATGCTAAACAAGGGCTATACCACTGAGCCATGCCCCATCCCCGCTCTTTGCCATCTTTGGGGATTGTAATTGTCAGAGAAAGCCCTAGTGGTGAAATAGCCGAGTCAGAGGAGTGTGTATCTAGTAATCAGAGGGCTGTTGCCTTCCAGAAAATGTAGTGACATTACATTTTGCCCCTTTAAGTAGTCATAAAAACAGAAAAGGAATTACTGTCAAAGTAAAACATGCTGTTAGAACCTTAGAATTCCTTAGCATTTGCTATGCAAATCAGTCTCCCAGTAGGCTGGAGTTTGTATAATTACATTGAAAATGTCACTCTAAAGTACCATGGATAGCCATGACAAAAATGTCACACATGAGAATGGCGGTGTTTGCTCTGTGGCAATGAAGGTGTGCTGTGGAAGCGCACGTGCCAGCGCCTACGCACGACTAAACTCAGGGTCGAAGGTTCCCTAAAGTCAGCTCCCTAAGAGCTAATGAAGTGTGCAGACAGTTTATGAAATAAAATACTCTCTTGTCTCCCTCATTAAAAGTTTGTAATAACTTGAAATTTTCCCCTGATATATTTTATTTAAAACTCTATCAAATCATTCCACTATAGTGTGATTTTAGTATGTAAGTTGTATTACTATACACAAAGTAAGGTTTGTAAAACCAAATTTTTAACTAAAAAATTAAAATCATACATTTCTTTTAACTTAAAATAATCTATATTTAATGTTTCTGGCTTTCTGACTCCCCAGCAATCCATGCGCTAACAATCTCCTCCCACTTCTTGTCTGCCTTCCCCACAGACTAAGCTTGTGTATTCTGGATCTGCAGTAAGTCTAGTGAAACATAGGAGTTTATACCCACCAGTAGCAGCATGCTCAGTGGTGAGAACCTAGCTTAGCCCAGTCTCAAGAGCAGGGGCAGGTAAAAGGGCATCATCTCCAGACGGTGCGAGCCCGTGCTGGAAACTGGAGCATAAAGAAAGCGACACCATGTGAGCCAAGAGAGAGGAGCAGTCCTGCCTCCCAGAGCTCCCTGCTCTGTGTCCTTGCAATTTGTTCGTTCATTGTTAGACTCGCGCAGTCAGCATGGGATACCTATGTAAACTAGGGACTGTGCTAAGAGTCGGCCTTTCTAGGACGACCAAAAATAAGATTAACTCCTGTCCTTCTGGCACACGGGTTGTAGTGATGGTTGTTAACTAAAAATATGTAAGTCAGGTGCTGAAGATCTCAGTTGTAGAGTATATGCTTAGCAGGTATTAGGCCCTGGGCTTCATACCCAGTACTGAAGGAAATAGGCAAACTGTGAAATATTAAAATCTGTGTAGCAGACTTTTACCTAACCCTAAATTCTGTACAACCCGACCACCAAATTTTAGAGTATGTTTTCTTTTTGAAAATCAGATGTGTCTCTTTTTCACAAACAGGACACTGTTGGTGATGATAGAGGAAGTAGGGAAAGGTCTTCTGGCTTTTCCCAGTCTGTTCTCCTTGCTCTAGATTGTTCTTCATTCTGGTGCTAAAAGTCATGGACTCTGGAACCAGTGTGTCTGAATCTGAATCCTAGGTCTGGTAATTACTAGATGTGTGTCTGTGGGAAAAGGACTTAACCTCTCTGTTTCTTTATTCAATGGCCCATAAAATAAGGGTAATACCTATTTTGTAGATATTACTCAATGTATTAAATAAATGATATAGTTATACTACTAAAACACTTTCTGGCAAACAGTAGAAGCTATATTAGAAACATTAATAAAATCATTGCACATGTATAGTTTTAATACTTTTTATGTTTTATTTCATATTTATCTTATATTTTATGTTATTAGTTTAGATTTTTCTACTTCTTGTTTTGTTTACCTAACAGTAAGTATATATTTTTTTATTTTCCCTTTTCAGAAAGCGTAAGTTCAGTATAGTCTTATTTTAGTATATAAACGAAAGCATAGATTTAGGTTTATTTCACCCAGCAGTTATAAGGTGGATTTTTTTCTAGGCATATAACTAAATATGTGTTATATTCAATAGAATTTGAAATAAAAAAACCAGCAACACTTCTAGGAGCAATTGACACATAGCCAGGATAGGAAGCATGGCTAGAATCGTCTGGGTTCGATTTTAATTGGGTGGCTTATAAGAGGAACACGGCGTTCAAGCTATTGCTCAGGAGAGGAAAGTTGACTGCTTCCTTTTCTGTAGTGACCTTTCTTTCCTTGTTCTTGGGCTATCAGAGATAGCCTGTGTTCTTTCTGATAGCCTCATGCCACACGTTACATGAAGGCGTTCAAATCACTCTTAACCCTGCTTGTGTTCGCTGACACGGAGACTGCTTCCACTTGGCCCTTACTAACAGCGCTGGTACTGAGATTCTTAATCATGTGTCAGTCATTCCTTTGTGAGTTTGTGTGGCCACCTTGTTGGCATACCTTCGGGAGCATTTGGGATCTAGTGATCATGTCCCCAGAGTGCACAATAGCGAGCCTTGATTCTTCTGGATCTCCTCCTGGAGAGGCTACCAAAGAAAACTGTAACTGCTATGGGATTGTAGCCATTAAAGAGGGACTGTCTTATGCCATGAACCTGTTCTTGGGGTCATTTTATTTATTCATTTTCTTATTTTCTTATTTTTGAGCTAGGGTCTGGACACCTATGTATTCTAGGCTGACATCAAGCTTGTGACCGTTTTACTTCAGCCTCCCCAGGGCTGAGGTTGCAGAGGTGTATCACCACACTCACCCATGGGAACAACTTTATAATCCTCTCAGGGAGAGGGCCCAGCGTTTCCTCAGAGGGAGGCCTGATTTCACTTGTTGGGTTTCCCTATGTTTCAGATCAGTGCTGAGTCCTCACCTGGCTTGCCAGCACACAAAGGCGAGTTGGTGGTTTCATTGAAATACATCCCAGCCTCCAAACTTCCCGTTGGAGGTGACCGGAAAAAGAGTGAGTTTTCTTTGGGTCCCTGGATTCAGCTGCTCTTAGCTTCTATACAGGGTGTGTGAGAGATTGCTACTGGCTCTGTTGGCTAGGGCAGGCTGGGATGTTTCCTGGATCTTCTAGGTAGGATTCCCTTCCTAAGGAAGCCTTTACCTCTCTCAACTGGAAGGAAATGCCATACATTGCGCTGACATTCCTTTTAGGTGACCTTTAGGCTGTTAATGTGATTTGGTCTCGTTCATCTGTGTCAAGCTACTAAGAAGGCAGAAGAGAAGAGGAGCTTTGTGGCCGAGAAAGGTGCTTGGATATGGGAAGAGCAAGGCTGAGTCACCAACATGACCAGCATGGGGCTGGTGATTGTAGAAACATAGATGAGAGAGTTATGGTACTTGTCCTTTGAGGACAAGTTGGTTTTTTTTATTATTCAGAAAGGTAATCATATGCCCAAGCCACCCACCAGTGAGGGTGATGGAGAGAGAGCTTTGTTGAGGAAGTAATATCGAAACTGGACCTTGAGATTTTACCAGGTACAAACGGAGGGAAGATGAAAGAGAGGAACTGTTCTGGAAGAAGGAACAGGACTAGCACAGGAATTTAAAGAGCTTGGTAGCTGGGTGAGGTGGTTCCTGCTTATAGTCCTGGCACTTGGGAGGCTAAGGCAGGAGAATTAACATGAAATTTCAGGCTGGATAGGTTATACACTGAGTGATAGGCCAGACTTAGCTGTAGAGTGAGAGCCCGCTTCCAAAAAGTTGCAATCTAAAACAAAAAGAAAAATGAAGTAATATATTAAAAATATAGACAAGGGATACAGTTCAGTTCATAGAGTGCTTGCAGAGCATGCATTAGGACCTCTGTTGTACGCAGGGAACATGGCATAAACTGATGCTTGGGAGGTGGAGGCAGGAGGTCAGGAACTGAAGGTCATCATTAGACCAGCTACACAGTGAATTTGAGATCAGCCCAGGCTACTACATGGGACTCTGTCTCATAAAAGTCCTTTGTATACACGCCTGGTAAACGTAGAGTTTTAGGCCAGCGGTCTGGAGTATGTTCCCAGTTACAGAGGAGCTGAAGTTGTGGCGTGAGTGTGCTTGTGTGTGAGTACAGCTGGGATTGGAGATGAGTCTGGAGCCATCTGAAAAGAAAAGACTGTGAGTGAAGAGTTTAACTTGATCTGCTGGCAATGGCAAAGCAAGGTTCTTTTTTTTAAAAAAAAAAAAAAATATACCCTCAGCAAAGTATAATGTAGAAGATTTGAGCAATCAATAGATCCCAAGGAGAGTATGCAGAATGACTAGAAAAGAAGCAAAGACCAGGCCTTTGGCAACAGGAACATTTTAAAGGATGAAGACCTGGAAAATGTCAGTGAGGGAGAGGGTTATCAGGACGTCAAAGGGCCTGTTTGAAGGAGAGAGTTTGAAGAGGAGGTGGGTAGGAGCTCTCAGCCTTTCTCAACACTACAGGTGACCAGGCCAGATGAGGCCTGAGAAGACACTGCTTGTCTGAATTAGACTGGAAGACATTAATGAAATCTGATTTCACAAGAAACTAGGCTGCAGGAATGTGGCAGAGAAGAGGAGGTGATGAACGTGGTCATTCTTGGCAAGGGTAATTGGTCGTGGTGAAAGGAAGGAAAGGTACAGAGGACAGCTTCCGAAGGATCTGATCGGAGGATGGGGGTTTTCTCTGAAAGTGGATATTTTAAAAGAAGAAACAGTAAGATCAGCCTATATTCAGACTGAGGGCAAGGCGTCAGTCTGGGGAAAGGGATATTCAAAATGGTAGGTGGGGGTGGACATTGATGGTGTCTGGTGAGTTCTGTGCAGTAAGGGTTGAAGTCAAGAACTCAGCAGAGGAGTTCCTTCTGCTTTAATTGCTTAGCAAATGCCAGGCACCTTTGCTTCTTGGTAACTCATGTAAAATGGAGACAACTGTAGTGTGTAACTCATAGGATTCTTTGGAGGAATGGAATTGCTTACAGTGGTGTTTGGTTCGCAGCGAGTTTTCAAGGAGCATTTGTTGCGGTTGGGGTTATTTATTTTGTCCCTACTGCTAATGCTAGGCAATGCGCTAGGAACAGAGGACACGGGCACAATTCAGTTAAGGAGTCTGCTGTATCCCAAAGTAAGGAGAGGAAGTGCTATGTAATTAAAGCACAGGACATACCTGGTGGTGTGGCGGTTTTCTTGCAATGGCTGACATCCCTTACAGGTAAAGGTGGGGAAGGGGGAGAACTCCAGGTGTGGATCAAAGAAGCCAAGAACCTGACGGCTGCCAAATCAGGAGGGACTTCAGACAGCTTTGTCAAGGGGTGAGTCCCTGGACCAGCATCACGCTAACCAGTGAGTTATAGGGCAAGCAAGTTAGCCGGGAACCCATTCGAATTTCCCTCTGTAGATCCATCCTGCCCTCATCCTACCATCCTCAGCAGCTTTGGTTCTGAAATTAGGGAATGGTGAGACCTTCACCTCCCACCCACGTTTTGTACTGCCCTGAGATCTGTTCGGTCTCAACTGTGGTGCTGGCTTTCAAACTGGAGGGTGACAGACAGCTAGGTTCTGACTCTCTGGCTAGTCCTCGTCTGGAATCCTAGGGGGACAGTCCATGCTCCCTGACTTATCTAGATTTGCAGTCCTAGGCTCTGTTGTCCACAGTTTTTAAATAGTGTAAGCTTCATCTATATTGGGGGGCCATTTACTGACTTAAGGTCCCCAAGAAGTCATGTTTAACTAAGCTTATACCTGTTAGTAATGGCTTCATGTACCTTATGTGAGGAAAGTGGAACGACATATTAAATGCCTCCTTGGTGGTGCATAGAGCGAAGCATGACTGACGTAGTCATTTTCTCTCCAGGCTAAAGTCAATAGATAATCTAGTGGAAGTAGTGGGGAGTCTGCCTCAGCTTATTCAAAGGAGGGCTTGTGTGCACACTGACCTGGTTGTCGGCTTACCATCCTGGGCTAGGCCTGTGGTAGGGGCAAGGGGAATTTAGATGTACTGCCGGCTTGTAGGTGTTGCTAACTCCCCACCCTCTGCCAGATACCTCCTTCCCATGAGGAACAAGACCAGTAAGCGTAAAACTCCTGTGATGAAGAAGACCCTGAATCCCCACTACAACCATACCTTTGTCTACAATGGTGTGAGGCTGGAAGACCTCCAACACATGTGCCTGGAACTGACTGTCTGGGACCGAGAGCCCCTGGCCAGCAATGACTTCCTGGGAGGGGTCAGGCTGGGTGTTGGCACTGGTGAGACTCTCTCCCCATCTGATCAGCACTTGTCGTAAAGGCCTCTTGTCTATCTAACTCTTCCTACCTCTCACCCTCCGTGATACACAAAGATTGCTTCTGACAGAATTTCTTTTCCTTTATGTAAACATCCAACAAGTGCTTACTGAGTATCTGCTACCTTCTAGGCTTAAGGGAGGGCTGAACTCATACAGTGTTTTCTGTACAGAAAGGTGACCCTGAAAGCCAGGGGCTTCATTATCCTCCCACAAAAGAAGATCTAAAAACTACCTAAATACCTGACTTGTGATTCCTATCTTCTATCTTGGGATAATGAGAAGGGTTTTTTTGCCAGCAAATCTGTGCTCTCCAAAGATTCTAAACTTAGCCCTTGCTTCGCAGCGGTTCTTTGTCTATAATGTGTTTCTTCTGTATGATCCATTTCATTTGATTTGATTATTGAAAGGGAATATAGACATGCTCTGATGATACCAATCTCTTTGTCTATATCTTTGTTTTGAGACAGGATCTCCTGAAGTCCAGCTTGGCCTCAAACTTCTAATACTCTTTACCTCCATCTCTCAAGTGCTCAGCTAATAGACATGCACCAACATGTTCAGGTCTAATTTTATTAAATAAAAGTAAATCTTCTGTTGACCACATCTCCAGCCCACCCCTAGAAAGAGTGATCTGTGTTTCATGGCCTTTCCTTCAGTTCTCAGTTCATTATGATATGACTTCCATATTTCTACTCTTCTGAGTCTTATTCATGCCAAAGTGAGGTTATTCTCACTCTAAGAATTCCCAAGTACTATTTAAGAGAGCAGATTAATTCCTTTTTCTTGAAATCCTTACCACTTGCTGCCTTCTTGACTTACTTTGACTCCATTGCACACCATTGTTCACTGTCTTTCCTGGGTTCTTCATTCTGCATGTCTGTATTCAAACTTGAAATGAGGCTGCTCTCTGGGCTTGGGCTTGGATACTCTTTTTTTCTTCTTTTTCTAGTCTTGATCAGGCCTCTCCAACCTTTTGACATGGGGACATTTTAAAGTATAGTGTTCATACCCAAGAACTGCACAATCCAGTTATCAAGAAATCACAGAAAGTAAAAAAAAAGTCATTGTTTCAATTAGTTATGATTTTGTGTTAGACCACATTCATGGCTATCCTTGAGCCATGCAGCTCTTGTTGGACATTTCTGTGGGATTCTTATAACTTTCATTCATAACTGTATATGAATTACTAATAGAAAACACCTACAATGGTATTTTTGCACATATAAGCTACTTCATGTTGGTTCCCTGTGTAAAAAACGTTTTGGTGACTTTCTTCCACCTTAGAAATTCTTACCAAGTTTACAGACCCTGTATAATCTAGACTCTTCCTTTTTTATTCTTCCTGTATCATTTTCTTTCTTATTCTAACTTCTACTCTGCTCTCCAAATATGCCACGTTACTTCCTGCTTTGGGACTTTAAAATGATTGTCTTTCCTATTCACATGTAATGTCCCTAAGGGCAGGGACATTTTTTTGTGTGTTTTTTTTTTTTTTTTGTTTTTTCGAGACAGGGTTTCTCTGTGGCTTTGGAGCCTGTCCTGGAACTAGCTCTTGTAGACCAGCATTTTTTTTTGTGTTTTAATCAATATATCTCTAAATTGGCATAGAGTAGGCACCCAGGAAATGTTCATTGAGTGAATGAATTATTATACAAAACATAGAAGTAAGATCACATTATCCTAACTTTGGAGAATTTACAGCTATAATAAAAGGTATTCAGAGCTTGGGCATAGTTATATATGCCTTGAAGCTTAGCATCTGGCAGACAGAGGCAGAAAGATTGCCACAAGTGGGCTGGAGAGATAGCTCAGTGGTTAAGAGCATTGCCTGCTCTTCCAAAGGTTCAATTCCCTGCAACCACATGGTGGCTCACAACTATCTGTAAAGAGGTTTGGTGCCCTCTTCTGGCGTGCAGACATACACACAGATAGAATATTGTATACATAATAAATAAATAAATAAATAAATAAATAAATATTTAAAAGAAAAAAAAAGATTGCCACAAGTTCAAGGCCAGGCAGGGTTTCAGTGTGAACTTCTGTCTTCAAGGGGGGGGGGGGGAGTCAACATTTTGAAAATTGAAGGATCCATGTGTATTAACCAGCCCACTGCCTTTTTACTGTGTATTCAAGAAACTATTCTTTTAAAAACGAAGTCAAGTTGCTAATGACAGAAGGGTAGCAGTTCTGGTATGAGGTGTCAGACACCAGAGCTCTGAAAAAGCCACTAAAAATAAAGCCCCCGTTGAGATTTTGAAATGGCAAGTCCCATTTCATCAACCTGCAGTCTCCTGATGGTCTCTGGGGCACACGTGCTGTTGTCAGCATTCTATCTTCACTGTACATTGTTGTTTCTGGGTTGGCCTCCCCCACTATGTGACCCGTCCTCCCTGATGGACTAGTGGAGGGACTCTGTTCAGCCTGTTCTGCTGTTTCTCCTCAGGGATCAGTAATGGCGAAGTGGTGGACTGGATGGATTCGACTGGTGAGGAAGTGAGCCTGTGGCAGAAGATGCAACAGTACCCAGGGTCTTGGGCAGAAGGAACTCTGCAGCTACGTTCTTCAATGGTCAAACAGAAGCTAGGTGTATGAGTCCCTATCTTTGTCTGCAGGTGCAGCCCTGGTAATCCAAGTCAAAGGCTAAGCAACCACAGTGAGAGCTTGCTAATTTAATGTGTGTGCATGTATGTTTATAAACATGTATTTCTGCAGATCTTATTTTGCTAGCTAGTGTGATACAGATGTGTTCCTTCCTTTAAAGAAGCCCAAGAAGAAGGGTCTTTTCGAGTGGTTTTTATTTATGTATAGTATATTTTCAGTGCTCATAGTTGCCTCTGTCTTTCTGTTCTTTAACCAACTTTAAAAGTCTTTTACAGCAACTCTCTACTTTCTGTCCTGCTATCCTCACTCCCACTTCCCCTGGAAGTATGGCTGTTTGGAGCAGTAGCTGTAGTTTGTGGATCTAGGTGTGCAAGGTCTGGTATTTCAAGACAGTGCACTATGGGAGAGGGATTTACTAACAGTCCTTCCTCTCCGGTTTGTATTTTATCTCATCATCTACCTGGATACATTTTTAGAAATTGCCTTTTAACTGTTTTTTAAGCAATTTCCACCTTGTGTGAGTGTAGTGGCTTTCTTTGAAATGCAGCAAAAACTCTCCAGCTCCTTCCTAGACCTTTGGGGAACACTTATAATGGAGCCACTTTAGAAAAATCACTCTAATTAGATAATGGCCTTTTCACTGGGACATTAACCTGCCCTGTGAGACCTACTAGCTGATCCCAGAAGGTCTATGTGACTCCGAAGAAAGTTTCTCACAGCCCATGTTGAATTCTCTTTTTTCAACTGTTTTAGCAGTTGTTAAAGAGGGATTTCCTTATTTCCCTAATGGAGGATGAGACATCTTCACTCTCATGTACTATAGCTTTTTCTAAGTTGGTGGCTGGGGTGTGCTGTTGCATAGAACATAGTCTCTATACCTCCGTTTCAGTCAGAAGAGCCAAAGACTGTCTAAAGCGATACAGTACTCCCCAAGGCTGGGGATTATTACCACCCCATGAAAATGTGGATGGAATTGCCCAGCTATTCAGACTTTTGACCTAATATATTTTCAGTTCCCGTTTTGGTTGATTCCTAAACTTGACCTGCACGTAACAGCGGAGTAGCATGTTGAGACTTATAAGGGAGATCTAGTGAGCTCTCATTTCCTGCTCCTCACTCTTCGATACTCAACTTTTCATTCATGGCAGTCTATCTCTACAGAGGTGTGTGTGGAAGGAGTCCGTGCCAGAGAGGAAATCCTGTCGATGGAGCCGGCTGCAGATTGACTTTCCTGTTGGGTCTCTGAATTCAGCGGGGTGATTAAGATTGTATGCGTGAATTGCATAGAATGTTCTTCAGAGATCTATTTAATGTGGATTGATACTGTTAACGGAAGTGTAACTCAAGAGCCCGGCTCACACTTGTTGTTTGGTATTCCACCTTGACTTGCATGCGTGTTTCAATAAAGCTTTCTCACTTGACTGTTTACATGGTGAATTCTGCAGATGATTTTGTCTCTGTTCTCCTGACTTATTGTTGCCACTTTCACTCATAGCTTGAAGGTCAGAACCAGAGTAATAAATCCACCTTGCTATACTGGAAGAAAACCAACCTTTTCCCACACTGCTGTCTGATACCCTTGTTGAGCCCACGTTCCTTGTCCTACATGTTTGGAATCTAAAAGTAGCACTACTCTTAGCCCCCTCAGGGACCAATAAGAGTCGGCCTTTGGCTTTGTAGAGTGGCCCTCGCTGGAAGAAGAGAGATGTTCACACAGGCACAAGGGAACACTTTCCATGTTACCCCTACTTCCTTCTAGATTATTCGGTTTCTTTTGGAGGTCAGGATTTTTATTTTCTCATCTACTCCATTATTTAGATTCAAGAGCTAAATCGGAGATGTTATACAACTCACCTTTGAAATAAGGCTCCGATCTTCTAGCTAAAGCTCAAGTGATTCTTGGCCTCTGTGCAAAAGCATATTTGTGAAAGCCAAGTACATCTTGTATACAAGGGTTTGCATGAGATTGTCTGACTTTCTACAACAGCTCATGAAGTAGGAAACCTTCCCTTCTTGCAGACCAAACATGAGCTCCTTGTCACGTGACTGAATTGGAATTTGAATCCAGACCTGACTCTACCATGTTGCCTTCTGTGAGAATGATGTATGCTAAGGGCAGAACATCAAACAAAATGATGGCTTGTCTCTCCTAAAATACCTTAGGGTTTCTTAAGTCATAATCTATAAGGACTACCAAGGAGGTTACAGTAAAGCCTTACTTACAGAAGGCAAGATTGACTTGACTACTCCAAATGAAGCAGAACGAAAGCCCCTAAAGCTCTTTTAAGCCTCAGTTGCTTGGAGCATTTACATGCAAGGGTCAGGCCCAGCTGGGAACTTTATGCAGGAGGTAGTGGGGCCCTGTGTTATCTTCTGGGCCATTCACCTACTAGCAAGTCCTGGCTCGCCACTTGAAGTGCTAGTATAAAGACAAGGAGAACATTTATCTTTCCCAATGTGTTGTCTTTGCCTTTGGAATCACAGACCTTACTCTGACCAGAAATTTCCTACATGAACTGGCTGCATTTCACCTTCTGTCTAGGATTTGCCTTTGGTCTATCAAAGCTCCAGTATTTTTCTTCAGGGAAGATGGAGAAGGGGATTCCCCCGCTTCCAAGTTCGATTTTTTTCCCCCATGTTTTACTCCACTAAGCCACTGCTTGTCTTCTCGTTTTGCCTTTTTAAACTGAGATTTCCAAGAAAGCCCCATTTGAAATTGCTTCTCTCTGATTCACCGCTATGCCTGTCTGTTGTAGGCTTATGATTTCTGTCTTAGCACTCTGCTTTAAAGAGGAATTTTCCTGGTCTGAGAGTCTTTCATTTTGCTCCTTCCACCTGAGACCACTGTGACTATTGTGGCTATAGAAGATGGAACCTTTCTCCTTCAAGTGTTCAATTATCTTGGAATGGGAAGTCGAAAAAAAAAAAAGAAGTAGAGGTCAGATGGCAGAGTGGAAGCTGACTGCTGGCGTCTGTGCCCAGCTGCCACGTACTAGCTGTGGGAATTTAGCATATTGCCTAGCTTCTCTGAGATTCAATTCCTTTAATGCGCCAATGGGAGCTAACAACAATACCTACCTCCTTTGGCTCTTGTGTCACATCTGAGTCAGTCAATAGTGTGTTTATAATGGCACCTGATACAAAGTGCATTCTTGACCATTGTTAGCTCTGTCTCCCCACCCAGCCTGCTTGCTGCTGCTTCCAGTTGCCCAAGGATGGTGCCCAGGAGAAAACGGAAGGAACAGGGTGGCTGAGCCTTGACTATGTCTCTGGCTTCCATCATTGTCTAAGGGGCAGTTCTCAGAAGCAAGGGAAGAACATCTTTTTTCAGACCCTGGTGAAACACCCCTTGGGAGACACAAGGCAGAGCAGAAACCTGCAGCCAGAGATGCATCTCAGCAGCAGTGTTTGGCGTGTGGAAGATCCTGCCTTTATTGCCCAGCAAAGAGGGGTCTGGGGGTGGACACAAAAGATGCAAGACAAAGGAAGAAAGAAAAAGGAAAGGCAGGGTTCTCTGTGTGGCCCCATTTCCACCCTCAAGTTTACTTCCAGGCCTCGTTCCTAACCTTGACCTTTGATTCCTGTAGCTACCTGCTCCGTGCTCATATCTTAAAAGTGGGTATCTCAGGAAGTTAATGCATGAGGCTATCCCTTTTGCTTTCCTGCTATGTTTGGTGGGGGGTGGTGGTATGTACATATGTATGTGTGCACATGTGCATGTACACGTATGTGCCTGTGTATGGACTTATGGAGATCAGAGGCCGGTCTTGGGTTTTGTTCCTCATGCCATTTATCACGTGGCTTGAGAAAGTATTCCTTATTTGGCCTGGTATTCACCATTAGGCTAAACTTCCTGACCAGCGAACCCCACTGATCTGCTTATCTCTACCTCTCCACTGGGATGCCAAGCGCACACCACCACATCTAGCCGTTTTACAGGGATTCTGAGGAGCAAACTCAGGTCCAAATCCTTACATGGGAAGCATTTTACCAGCTGAGCCATGTCTCCAATTCCTAGAGGCAGTCTGGTTCACAGACTGGGGGAACCTCTAATGAAGGGCCACCGCCCCAGGGGCATCATTAAAGCACTGAAGACCTCATAGGCAGAAGTTCTTGCCCACAAGCTATTTGGAGTATCTAGGTGGGAACTTCCTGCTCTGGCTGGGTGTTGCTTCCCAAACTGAAGAAAATGTTTTTCTAACTCTTGATGAAGCAATGGTTCAAGCAACATTTTTTTTTTTTTTTTTTTTTTTTTTTTTTTAGCCCAGTGTCCCGAAATGGGAAATGACAATCAGCTTCAAGAATGTTTTGTAGAGCCTGGTCACCCCTCTCCTGCTTCTCATACAGTTAATGAACTGTAAGGAAAATCTGCTTGTACTTGTTTAAAGTGTCCTGCTTGTCTGTTGTGATGATGCCCTCTGCTGTCACCATAGAGTAAAGGAGCCATTGACGCCACAGGAAATGAATGACTTTAGGATTTACTTATCGGAAAGACTTTGGAGAGCTAGGCAGAGGCTGTAGTCAGGAGAAGCCCGTCTACCCCCAACCCACTGCCCAGGGCCTGTTCTCAGTCCCTACCTACTTTCGTGTGCTCTTCAGTGCTACCTGAAGTGGAGCCTTGCTTAGGTAAAGGGATATTCTCCCCTAAAATGTTGTCTGGAGCTGTACTAGATTTGGCAAACCTCACCCCTCACCTGAGTCCTGCTCCCAACACTGTGGGCAAACATTTCCTCCTCAGTTTAAGCTACCTAGGACAGTTGCACACTGCACTTGACCTCAGCCACATCCTGGCTCAAGGTCACTCGCAGACATCCCTTTGCTCCAGATGCCTGGCCAGCTCCTGGTTGCTCAGCAGGTAGTCATCAATGAATGTGAAGATTTCCTCAGGGGTGACAGGTTCCATGTAGCGTTCCCGGTCAATACCCTGCTTGTCAATTAACACCATGTTGAAGTAGGAACGAGTGAGGCGCTGGAATTGCCTAGACAGAGCAGGCCAGAGAGATGTGAGACCTTGGTCCGAGTCCCCCAAGACTGCACTACTACCCCCTGTTCTCTTATAGCTCCACCCTTTCCCATTCCCCTC